AAAACTTCCTTGTTGTGCCTTCCTTTTCCCATAAAGAAGTCTATCCTGTTTTTTTTTTTTTACGTGTGCTAGAGAACATTCATGTGCAAATCACTTGCGCCAATTAATCATTGTAATCAGGTGCGTTTGCACAAATTTTCACCATTTTGGAAAAATAAACCAGGACTGGTTTTCACAATTGTTTACTAATTTTCACCATTTGCTTGAGGATGTTCACCATTACTGAAATGCCTAAATGAGCCAGGACTGCTTTCTGAAACAACTTTTTTTTGAATTTGCACAAGGATGTTTACTGCAGTTGAATGGGCTGAATTATAGAAGCCTCTTCCTTTAGGGAAAGAACTAGCCCAACTGTTTATTGTAAAATAAAGCCTGTCCTGTTTTTTAGCCCTGTCCCATGATGATGAATACCCTTGTGAAAATTAGTGAATAATCGTTAAAAGCAGTCCTGGTTTATTTTGCCTTTTTCAAAAACTGAACATCCTCATGAATATGGTGAAAATTTGTGCAAACGCACCTGTTAAGCACAGTGATTACAATAATAAAAAAAAAAAATCCTCAACATGCCTTCTTTTCCCAATAAAGGGTCTCTCTTGTTTTGTTTTTTTTGTACTATAAATATCAGATGTAATTGCATAAATTTTTAAGACGATGTTCACCATTACAACAGACAAAAATAAACCAGGACTGGGGATGGCCACCATTATGGAATAAGCCAAACTAAACCAGGGCTGGTTTTGCACAACTGAAAGTTAATTTCACATAATTAGAAAACAATTGGTAAAACGTCAGTCCCAGTTTGGTTGGCTTTATTGCATAATGGTGAACATTCTTGCACAAATGTTAGAAATGGCTGAACTATTGTGAAATCCAGTGTGGAATTTGGCCTTTTTCTGGCCTGATCTGGTTCTATTACCAGGTGGATGTTGTGGAAGACGCCAGAGAATCCAGGGGAGGTTTTCTAATTGTTCTGTTATATGGCCAGTTTCCATGTACCAGTCTTACCCAGTCACATCAAGCCCGACTTTGCAATCGTGCAACTTCACTGTAAGTCGCACGATTTCAAAGTCGGGTGACTTGCCGATTTCAGATGCGATTTGCAAGACATCTGATACAGATGTCTATGCCAATCGCACCAAAAGTAGTGCATGTACTACTTTAGAAATCGGTGCAGCTCTGACCAAGTCAGAACCACACCAATATGACCACTAATTGTGGACAACAGAATGCGACTTGGCATAAGATTTGCAAATCGCACCCGATGGGACCGGGGTGTCAAAGACTGTAAACCATTTATTAGGCCTTGTTTGTGTAACGGTGAGCTTTGTGTAAACAGCATATATTACTGTAATGCTACAAACCTTCTTATTCTAACACTGCCGTGGTTTCCTTTTTTAAATGGTATATTTCCTATTAAACTGATAAAGTGTTTGAAGAGTTTGTAAAGTCTATTTTTTTTTCTTTTAAAATATCAAACATATTATATGTACACAGAGTGGCCCGAACCTGCTGTTCAGAGTGGAAAAAGATGTCATGTATGCGACATCCTCATCTGTACTACTCTTATCTTCCATCTTGTGATGGAGGAAAAAGTGGACCTATATAATTCCTGTGTGTGGCACCTATACTCCCCCACATCTGGAAGCAAACTTTTCTCTGTCAGTCTGATAAACCTGAACAGATACAGTCTAATTACAAGTCAAACACAAACTGACAGAATATCCATTTGAAAGGGGAATTAATAGGAGTTTCGTTGATGGCCGGACTTTTTTTTTTTTTTTACTGGTATCACAGAGCACAGCAACGCAGGTTTTTTTTGGGGTGCCATTACAAATGAATGGAAGCGCACCATACAACTTACATCACCGCTGCACAATATGGTCAGCAAATCCTTAGCACTGAATATTCTGATTGTTCTTAGTCACTGAATAGGTAATTGCACAATGGGGGCAACTTGAAATGGTTCTCATATTCCAGGCAACGTACCTTCTGTTCCATGCTGCACTTAGACCGCCTAAAGGCAACTGCCGCTGTTGTGACGGTCTAAGAATAAGTGCTTGGCTGTCTCTGACTTTAATACTGTCCTAGTCAGGTACTTGGAATACTAGTTGCCAGACTCTAAATGTAGTACTTTCCAAGTCACTTACCTGGAATAAGCACGCAGATTAAAAAAATCAAGAGTGGAAGCTTCCTGTTATGGGGACACTTGTGCAGGCTCAATCCTGAACCACGCTGTGTGTCCATAGACACACACACACACACACTGCAGCTTGGCCCCACCCCATGCTCTCTCCTCACAGGCTGTGATTGACAGCAGCAAGATCCAATGGCCAGAGAGGAGAGAGCCTCTGCTCTTGGGCACAGTGCTGGTTCAAGGATTTTTTTTTTTTAACCTAAAATGCAAAGAATGCAAGGTTAGGTAAGGTTAAAAACAAAGAACAAAAAACACTTTTACCTTTACAACTCCTTTAAAGGAGCTTTCAAAACATAGTGTATGTATATCTAAAAATATTTTTTTGGGTCAAGCAGGAACAATCCGTCAGTTAAAATGTTACCCTCTGTGTCACCTTGGGGCAATTTTCCTTCACTAAAAGATAGGATCCAAATCCCATTTTAGATGGTTGGCACAGGAACATGTATATTCTCCTTTGGAAGACTTAACCTCTTGTTGTGGAGAGACCAGTAAAATATTGTTTCCCATTTTGTTGTTGTGGCACTTGGTGATAAAAGGATGGTTGTGGCAAAATCATTGCTGAGGTGTCATTAAAAGCCATACATGGATGTGCAAAATCACACCAACCAGGTGGCTGAGGTGTCCTGGACAACCTGAAGGAATAAATCAGTTCATACCATGGCATCCAAAAATGTAATTATAGTAGCTTTAAAAATCAAACCAACCATTTTTATATAATCTCTTCCTGGACAACCAGAGAGATCTAGAGAACAGGTGTCAAGCTGCAGCCCTCAGCTGTCAAGGAATAGAAGTCCTACTTGCCTTTGGGAGTCAAAAATGTAGTCATTATCAGCCAGCAATGCCTCATGGGATTGGGAGTAATGCTTGTAAAGGTCTGAATGCCTCATGAGATTGCCATGCTTGCAACGGTCAGCCTCGCAATGCCTCATGGGATTTTAACTGTCAGCCTCGCAATGCCTCATGGGATTGGGAGCCATGCTTGTAACGGTCAGCCTCGCAATGCCTCATGGGATTGGGAGCCATGCTTGTAACGGTCAGCCTCGCAATGCCTCATGGGATTCAAGCCATGCTTGTAACGGTCAGCCTCGCAATGCCTCATGGGTCAACAGCTGGAGGGCCGCTAGAAGACACCATTGGAGATTATGCCAAACTTCCTATTCCAAAATGCCTCATGAGATTGGGAGCCATGCTTGCAACGGTCAGCCTCGCAATGCCTCATGGGATTGGGAGCCATGCTTGTAACTGTCAGCCTCGCAATGCCTCATGGGATTGGGAGCCATGCTTGTAACGGTCAGCCTCGCAATGCCTCATGGGATTGGGAGCCATGCTTGTAAACGGTCAGCCTCGCAATGCCTCATGGGATTGGGAGCCATGCTTGTAACGGTCAGCCTCGCAATGCCTCATGGGATTTGTAGTTCCGCAACAGCTGGAGGGCCGCAGTTTGACACCTATGATTTGGAGATTATGCCAAACTTCCTATTCCAAAAAAAGGCCTCTGTGACAGGAATCTCTAATGTGAGAACACGACAGAGGTATCGACTTGTACACTCTCAAAAAAAAAAAAAAAAGAAAAAAAAAAAGTAAAATGGTTTTTGGATATAGTCCCACTTTAGAAAATTCTTCTCTGTGGGGAGGCTCTCAAAGTGGAACTCTGCACAGTTATAACACATGTACATTGATTTTTTTGCCCAAATGTGAACCATTTAAAACAATAGCTAATCTCTGTATGAGTTGATGTGCATGCATTAAAACACCTAGGTGTGAATAGGTGAAGCTGAAAACAGATGTCACAGTGCTGATGTGTATTCAGATCCTGGTGTCTTTTGTCCAAAAGCCAATCTTAGCAGGAGATCGAAGATTCCTGCTAGGATGGGATACACAAGCCATGGGGGAAGAAAAAAAACAAAAATCACTTTGATAAAATGTTTGGAGGTTATTTTGAAAATCTGTGGTGTGCTGGCGATATATGCTATGACCAATATACCATCAAAGGTCCTATGCTGATTAGATAAACTTAATTAGAAAGTAAAAAAAACACAAAACACAAAAATTAAATTTAGATTTTTTTTTCTTGTTTTACTTTTTTTGTAAAAAAAAAAAAATTCCAGAAAAATCTGCCAGTAGTCACACAATATAGAAACACCCATAAAAAGGTAAAGAACAAAAAAAAATAGCTATAGGAAAAGCAATAGAAGGCAAAGCAGGAAGATGAGATGGTGTTTCAGCTGCTGCAAGAAATATGAAATAGATATATAAAATTGAATGTCAGATAAACACATTGGTTTTTTAGAACGAAAAGTGGCAGATGGGGCCTATGATATTTGGAGCTCAGTATGTATTACAATAATCTAGAAGTGATGTGGGTCATATAACCCAGCCAAACAATCTTTCCTGATCCTGTCCCGGCCCACAGGTATGATCCATTCAGGATCTTTCCAAACATCTCCCTCTTTTCCATCCTATGACTTAACCTGAGTATGTCTGTTTTTGGTTTTAAGGCCAATACCGCAGCAGAACAGGAGGAGACAATGCTCCTTCCATTAAATCAGGATGTAAGAACCAAGATTCTTAGGAGTACTAGCCACTTTGGCTATACTCTCAAACACAAGCCATTTAAAGTCTCTTCCCAGGACAATATTGTGGCAGCATTTTCACCACGTAAGGGCTGTGGGAAACGATGCCCACAAGGAAGCAGAAAAGCTTTAAGAAACAAAAGAGGTTCTAAGCAGCAGGGAAGAATGTGTGGTAGAAAGTGTGGTTTCTTCCATTTGTAGCACATCAGGGGATGTTGTACGGGATCTGGATTTCACATAGGTAGTAAGTGGTCATCTCTTTCTTCTGGCTCTTCTCCAAGCTGATCATCTCCAACTCCGCGGTAGGCGGTTTCTGAAGACCGGGGCCGAGATCGGCACACAAAGTCACAGCCGTCCTAAGAGAAATGAATAAATAGATTTGTTTTGATGCACCTCACCTTGACAAAATGTGATCGTGGCTATACCCCCCTACCTAAAATCCAATTAACCAAAAAAATAAATAAATTGTTAATTATCTATCCATTCATCCATCTCAGAAGGGGATCTGTCTTCTTCTATCTAGGGCAGTCGGGTGTAAACAGATAGCAGAGCCCATTTACACCCGCTGGTCAATAGAGCACAGCAGGCACTTTGTGTCCGCTCAGCATAAACTGAGCAGACACAGACCTGTCATCCACTAGCTCTACTCTAATCAGCACACAAATCCCCTGTTGATCATAACAGTTTCCGAAGTGAAAGGGGCCCAATAGGCAGCTTGGAAGAAGTGGTTGAAACCCAACTCCACAGATCTGTCTTTATCATACACAATAATGACAATTTCTTATACATTTCCATCCTCATACACAAAACTGCATATAAAACTTCACATTTACAATCACTGCTCTTCAGAATCAGCCGACATCTGTGGAATATTATACTTACCGCTACCAGGTTGCCAAACTCTTGCCAAAAAGTGATGTTGGGGAACTGTTCTATCCCTTTAGCTCCAACGACAAAACGCTTATAAAGGAATCCACCGATGATATAAACTGCAACTAACACGCAAACCTGAGAAAGTGAAGAGCCGAAGTGTTAAATACTACATCTTTACCCATCACACATTGACTACCATATATAATGGACAAATGAAGGAATCTCTGGCTGATATTCAGATTTTACAGTTCTATCAAGATTGTGAAAAGGCTATTAGAGTGCCTGCACTTTAAAACTGAACATGGAAGCCTCCATTGCTTACCTCTCTCCTGAAAATGCTAGTTGCCTATCTGCATGCTTCCCCTTCGATATTTCCAATTTCTAACACACACAAACCTCTGCCAACCTTGAAGAGAAGTCTGAAGTTACAATACAAGGGCTCAGCAGGAGCACAGACACTATTCTCCCAGTATAACTATCAAGATTCTGCCTGAGTTGTTGATCGAAACATCCCAGTTATGAAATGTTAAACAATGTCCTCTAATAAACAATACATCCCTTTGATGTCCAGACAAAAAGGATTACAAATCGAAAACTAGAAAAGCTACAATTTCTGGGGAAATTGTGTGAAGTGTTCTTGCCTCCACCAGTAGTCTGCAACTGGAGTGGGCGGAGTAACTGGGTGGAGTGGCTTGTCATTCTGCTGCCTGCTCACACACCTGCGTTCCTATAGCAACGCATTCTACAGCAAGGGCAGAGAAGAGCGGTTAAAAACAAACTGCTCCAACTTGCTCACTTCACTGGCGGCTGCCATCTTCAAACGGTTGTAGTTGAAAAATTATAAATCCTACACCGAAGAGCTTTATATTGTGAGAATCACAAAACCCAGACCTACATTTTGATGCATAGTATGTCTCTGAAATATTAAAAATTAAGGCACAGTTGCAGTTTAGAAATTGCCCTTCAAATTTGAGATGGCTAGAGTGGAGTTTCAATGAATGTCAATGGGTGGCGTGAGTTGCAAACAAATGGTCATATTGTGAAAACTGTCAGGACTATGGCTTAGCCATGGACATTTTTAGTGGCAGCAGAGATAGCTGAACGTTTTGATATAAGATTTGTGTAGGTGGGCTTGCAAATGAGGGAGTGATGACAGGTTAGAAATCATGTCCTGATTTTTCAGCTCACACTCTAGCTTTTGTCAGCTCCCACTCTAGTTTTGCACATTCCGCCATTCATTCCTATGGGACCAATTTCACCACAAAAACGCCGATATTTCGTGAACCATTCGGCGAAACGTTCCACAAAGTAATAGCACACTAATCGGGAACAATCCGCATGTTTTGGTATATTACTGTCTATGTAGTGTAAAAACTGTGGGAGGAGTTAGGGTGGTAAATTTGGCTATAATAAGAATATATATGTGAGATAACAGTAAGTGGTCTTGCCATGCAAGAACAATTAATTAGGCGTTTTTATTCTGCTGCATTCAGTGCAATTTGTAGGCGAGGTCTCAATTGATTCTATGATGATAAATTATATGAACTTAAAGTAGCACTAAAGTCTAAACATTTTTATCTTAATGCAGTCCCAGCATTAAGGTAAAGAACACCCAACTCTCTGTCCTACCGCCCTCTGTCCCTAAACACTTACATGGCTCCATCTCACAGCTCCAGCACCGCTCCCACTTCCTGCTTTCAGAGGGGGTGGGGGTGTGGCTTACCAGCACAGGATGTTTCTATGGACGCACACAGCCTGGTGTAATGATTGTGAGCAATAGGGACATGAAAGCTGTAGGCGACAGCCATGTTAAGGTCTCAGCCATTTTGTTTTCATAAGCAGTGATCCCTCCTTCTGCAAACTATGGAATTTGTAGCCTTAAAACTTCCAAGAAACTTCAAAAGAGCCTCTTATCTCAATCAGGGACAACAGAATGCAGCAAGGAGAGCTGGTCAGAGCTGTAAAACATTAATTGAGGTCTGCAGGATGTCTGTTTCCACAAACCATGAAAAAGTCTTCCTTCTGACCTATCATAAAACAATATAGCTCAGTCAAGCCTGTCAGACATGATGTGTAAGGCAGTTAAAGCTGTAGGAATGCAGAGCGTGCCATAAAATGTCTATTCCACAACTTAACAATTCCACACACAATTCATAAAATCTAGTGGCCACAGCACACAATAATATTAGGTATAAATTTGGATGGGGAATATCATACCGAACAATTCAAGGCCATACATGACTATGTTAGCACATAGGAAAGGGGAGAAAGCCGTCTCCTCCATCCTAGGTGACAGACCCATCAAAGGTATGCGGCAGGTATGTGGTGTTTGCTATCCCTAGATACGAAATAAAATTCTGAATAATAATCTGCCAGTTTCTAGAATACAACCTGCACCTATTGGAAGTTATTGATATTAGTATAAAACTGGATTTAGGACTTGACATTACAGAAAAGGGACTGACAGGTCTTCTTAAGGAAGCTCTCCTTTTAACATCAACCAAGGAACACCCAAGAGAGCAATGGAAACGTTTTTGCTTGGACAATTGGACTCTGCTAACACCAGGACTTTGCAAGTACTCTCCATTTTCACCTCCTTTTATATTTCTCTGTTGCGTTACTGTTGTTCTCTTTAGGTCTTTGTAACACCCTTTTCTGGAAATATTTTAATTGCACCATTTGACCTTTTCATTAACCACAAGCCTACAGGGCATTTATACCCCCTTCCTGCCCAGGCCAATTTCCAGCTGTCGCACTTTGAATGCCAATTGCGTGATCATGCAACACTGTACCCATATGACATTTTTTATCATCTTTTTTTGTGACAGAGCTTTATTTTGATGGTATTTAATCACCTCTGGGTTTTTTATTTTTTCCTAAACCAAAAACCACTGAAAATTTTGAAAAAAAAAAATTTTTTTTTCTTAGTTTTTGCTATAAAGTTTTGTAAATAAGTGATTTTTCTCCTTCACTAATGTGCACTAATGAGGCTGCAGTGATGGGCACTGATAGGTGGCACTGATGGGCATTGACAGGCATCACTGATGGACACTGAAAGGCAGCACTGATATATGGCACTAATAGGTGGCACTGAAAGGCAGCTCAGATGGGCACTGATGTGCACTGATATGTGGCACTGGCACTGTTCAGCACTGACAGCTGGCACTGATGGACACTGACAGGTGGCACTTCTGGGGCCACACTGATCATCAGGGCACACTGATCATCAGTGCTCTGATGATCTGTGTACATGTCCCCTCCACGGAATGCTGATTACCGGCTCTCCTCTCGAGCTGTCAGTGTGACAGCTCGAGAGGAGAGAAATGTCAATAACCGGCATTTCCCTGTTTACATGTGATCAGCTGTGATTGGACACAGCTGATCACATGACCAAGCCAACATCTTCGGCTCTTTCCGTAGATCAGTAATCCGCTGTTTCCGAGGGACACAGCGCACCGCCGATCGCCACGCGCTCCCTGAGCCGCGCATGCGCGGTGAGAATGGGAGGATGTCATATGACATCCTCCCAGAATGAGAGAACCCTATTGTGAGAAGTGTTAAAATGGTCTCTAAAGCTTTTAATGCAAACTAAAGAATCTGTCTCTTGAAGAGTGTATATATAATATATAATCAGAGTACTGTATAGAATAATCCTCTGAATATACCTGTCTGTGGTGACAGTGTGTGTTACAGACATTTATTGTTCACATTTGTTTTTGCTAACATTGTGAAGGGTTGATAGGCCCAAAGCTATCTGGTGGCAGTTTGGAGTTTGAAGGGTTAATTGCTAATTAACCTAATCCAGTGACAAATCGCTCTCAGGCTGCTGGCACAGATTGTGGTCCCGCAAGCTGGAAAATCTTTGTGCCAGTGCAACTGAGAGTGGCATTGTTACGCAAGTGATAGCATGGTGGTGTGTGAGATTGGCTGATTCTTTGTCATGAGTTGGTGAGAAGGGCAGGGGTCAGGCATCGCGTTTCGTCACACCCAGCTCAAGAGAGAGCACATGAACAGGTGCCTCCTTAGCATCAGGCTTGCTACAGGAGGAACCTGTAGGAGGGAAAAGCTGCCAGCGCCAGCAGGGGACTGCCAAAAGATGAAGAAAGCGACCTTTCTATGCAATATTGTTGCACAAAGCAGGTATTACCTCCTAAAATAAACAGTTAGTATCACATTACTATTTTGTGGCCCTATCTAGGCAGCAGATGGGTGGCCTGTCCAGCTTACCCTGCTGACTATTTAAATACAATGTAAAACCAAACCTTTTCTTAGTTTTGGATAGAGCAGGGAACGGGTTGGATCCCTGTCAGGTATATATCCTCTGTCCAAGTTCCATCAGATAGATTTTCCTTTGCTGTCTGTCTCAGCAACACAAAAAGGAATTTAGAGGAGATCTCTTCAAAACTAGAGGATATCCCCTCTTAAACTGTTGTCACCAGAAGAGGTGCCCCTGCCGGCAGATTTTTCCTCACATCCTGTTCCTGTGACAACAAAAATGTTTTGTCACTTTCATTCACAGTTACAGCAGTCACCAGGTCCAATAGTCGGGGAGAATCTTCTCAGTAGGAATGTGAACAGCAATAAAAACCTGAGGAGAGGCACCTTGCCCTGTGATGGAACACTCTAAGCCGCTTTCTTCCACTCTCAAATAGACTACAGGGGTGCCAACTGTTTGAAGGAGCGCACAAAAACTGTATAGCACACATGTGCCACTTTCAGCACTGAACATCTGGAAGAGTGGCTTGGTGCAGTGATAACATTTCATGTCTGTGTGGTCACTCCTTCCATGCCGTGAACTTCTGGGACAACCCTCTACTCTCAAACAGAGAATGGACAACAGTAACGAGCTCAGTCTCCACAATCTTACCTCCACTTTTCTGTTACAGCAGTTGTGCAGCATTTGTAATGATGACTGTGCAGTCACATAGGCATCATAGAGAGACCTAGTACACTCAGTAATCAGCACCCAGTAATACATCTTGTCGGACAGCCCCTTCTTTTGCAATACAGATCTCTGAGAACACTTACAATGGGGGGGGGGGGGGGGGGGGTAATTACTGGATGTGGATGTGTCTATAAGAACTCTTGTCTTGTGTATATCAGCACAGAAAACTGAAGTGTGATAGTAGCATTTTCACAATTTAAAAAATAAATAAATAAATTTGATGTATATCAAATCACAAAGCATAAAAAGGAGGTTTAAAATAGTGAGACACTTCAACTTTAAGTGTTTTATAATAATTGTCTGTATTATGGAGGATCTAATCAGCTCCCTCAAGGGTATGGATTCCACAATTGTGGATAAAGAAAAAAAAAAAAGAAGAAGAAGAAGAAGAAGAAGAAGAACAAAGCAGTGCTGGGAGGGGACCACACACATAAACATCTTAATATGGTTGATGATCAATGTGAATTAAAAAAAAAAAAAAAAAAGGAAGAAATAAAAATATAACAATAGTAAAACCGATAGTAATGATAATATGATGAAAAATGACAAACAAGACATAAAAGTCTATAATCCAGGGATCCTAGGCAGAGTATGGTAGGCGAAGGCAGCTCCCCATAGAGCGAAGCAGTACTCTGCAGGAGGGAAAAATGGACAGAAGGGGGCGCCCCCTTCTGTCTGATTCCACAATTGTGAACTACCTGGTTTTGCAGGATAGACTTTACCTTCAGATAGGATTACAAGCAACTCCTATCCGGTTTCCCCTCCCAGGTGGTTTCCATACCTAGTAACACCTAACCCAACAATCCTTTAATATCTCTCCTAAATTCTTTTTCCCTTCCCTATAATACCTTGCCCCAACCATAGTGTGCACCCCTCCCCAACTCCCTTTTCCTTCTCAGCAGATGGGATGCCTGGCTCCCCCTGCCATGCTAGTCCTTTTGTACTGTTCCTCTTCTTCCTTCACCCTTCTGACATAACCAATTCCCCAGCCCCACTGTCCATATCTACAAGTCAGGTAACCAGGAGAATCTCCCCACCCCTCCCCTGTTCTAATTTCTGTTATTCTCTCTTCACCTGTCATTACCTACAACATAAAAAAATCCAGCATTAGGTATTGTCAGGACTCACTTTGGTTATCCCTAGGTGACCTCTTTGTGGTCTGTACCATGTCATCTGCATGCAATAAATTGGTACATGCCCAAATTGAACTGGTTGCTGGTTAGTTAACATTTTCTCTCTTTTTAAGCGTGTTATTGAGGCGATGCTCATTTACAATCCCAAGTCATCTTCACCGCTTACAATGCTCTGAAACAAATCACTAGTAGTACACAGGTAATTTAGAATCCATAAACATTTTGTTATACCTGTTCTTTATCTTGGTACTTACACAATGAGAAGAATGGAGCCCACACTGAGATGGGATTCCTCCGCTGGACAAGCGACACTACTGTCCATCTCAAACAGATAGAAACAATTGTTTGTTTTGTTCCTCTCCTCGCTAATTATCGTAAATCCAGCCTACAAGTGATGAGAACATACATTCAGATTATGCTACTATTTATTGCAATTAAACTACAAGGGATTTTTTACTTTCGTACAAAAATTTAGAATCATCACTGGGATACAAACACTTATCATAACGTATCTATCATTTTTTCTGTTACATAAAGCAGTTAAAAAAGAAATAAATAAAAATTTTAGTTCTCAAGCTGGAAATTGTTTATGTATCACAACACTCAGGAGATGTCCCCACCAAGAAGAATCAACCTTTAGGCTCGGTTCACATTCCTGCGACTCAGAATCTGACTTATGAGACTCAAAGCTGCAGGACATGTGAAATGCCATGCATCTCTATGACAGCAGGTCCAACCGACACTACTAAAGTCACTGCGACTTCAGAAAAAGGTTCCTGTGCTGCTTTGATCCGACTTTGATATGATTTCAGTTCCACAGAGTGTAAAAGTCACATCAAAGTCACATCGCAGTGAAATTTGTGCCAATTTGGAGTTGGCTAGTGTGAACCGAGTCTTAGGCAGGAATAAAACATGCGTGTTGTATGTAACCCTGACTGTCAAGCTCTGCACCGCCTTTGTACAGTATATGTTCTTTATATAAAAAAAGTAATGGCAATGTATGATTGCCACCATTGAGGGTCCAATAGCATGAAGGATTTGGTAAGCAGGGCAAGAAGGGACCAAGGATACAGAAAAACAGTATATGTAAATAAAAACAGGACACACAACATTTACAGCCAAAGTTATTTAAAATTAAATAAAAACTGCTGTAAGCATAAAGTGCAGACACCTAAACCTCCAGTAGCTTTAGGAACTCTGCCTATAAAGCTGAATGCTGGGCCACTGTGAAGGCAATACTCTGGTGATTCTTAAGACTGCCAAAGCCTACCTGTCCTTTTCTGTCTCTTGCCCAAATCAAGCGCTGACTCAACCTGGGAGTTTCAGAGCTTTGTCTGTCATAACCCATGTAATTTCAGCCGTACCTGCAGGAATTCTGAAGCTCCTACAGACATGCAACTCTAAGGGCCAGTTTACACCAGAACGTGTTTCCCGCACTACATTTAAAAATCACTGCAGGTTGCGATCAATAGCTGGTGTCAACAAGTTAATGACAAGTGATGAAAGTAGTGCATGCATTACCATTGGTGCAGTGTGATTTCAGCCCATTCAAAACAAATATGCTGAAATTACATTGCACAGAACTGCATGGGAAACATACAAGAACGCAGAGTGCGTCCCTGCCCTAAGTTCCTGCACTTACCTGCAGCAGTTCTTCTGTTTTGTATGCTACTGACAGTCCAGCCAACAAACCCAAATACTAAGTGGTATCAGTTTATAAACAGCCATTGTGTTATTCAACAAATTTGCTCCTGACCACCACTAGACGATTGGCTTGATTGCCACTGACCATTTAAAAAAAACAAAAAACAAAAACAAAACAGATCCTATCCTTCAAACATCACTGAACAGCATACCCCCAGGGTGTTCTTGTTGCAGGATATCATGACCATGGCCTGCCTTGATTCTTTATCACAGTGATTGTCATACTTGTCTCCAGATTTGTAGAATAGCATGATCCAATCCGCTAGAGCACAAACAAAAGATAAAATGTTAAAGATATAGATTTGTTCCTTGTAGATAACCTGTAGTTTTAAAACAAAAGCACATAAACTGTGAGCACTTGCCCTTAACCACTTCCTTATAACTCTAACTGCTAACTTATAATTCTATACCTATTTTCCATACCCAATAGTTTTTACATTACCTTTAAAATATAACTAAAGGCCAAACTATTTTTCTGGTTTTGGACAGAGTGAAGATGGATTAGAACACCTGTCAGGCTTTTATAGCTGTCTGTGCCCCTTAGGGAGATTCACCCTATTTGTCATTGAAAGTGATAGCAAAAGAAAATCCCAAACTTTGGGTTGTCCCCAAGACAGTAACAGGAGGGGAAATTTTCCAACGGGACACTGGTTCTGGTGACCGGGGGCAAAGGGATTCCTATAATGAGAACGAACACACACACAATGATTACTCCTCAATCACTAGAGACCAGATCAACACTGATGGAGATCAGTGGGCTCTTGTGTACACTGCTAGCTATCAAATAGGGAACATAGAATGATATCTCCCCATCATGTCATATAGTACAGGAAAATGTTTCTCTACAGATTACAAATGGGAAGAGGTTAACATGATTGTGAAATTGCTGACATGCTGCAGATGTATTCTATATTAGATAGTGGAACATGAAGGGAATTTATGAAGGGATCTCACAAGCAGGTTTGTAGCAGACAGCGCTACAGAAAAGATCATATGACAAAGGCGAGACAACTGACATTGCCAGATCTACCCTACAGTGGACAATACGATAAAGGATGCAGTTGTATGAAGTTGCTAATTTTCAGTTGATATTAATGACTGCTCATTGCATTCAAATAGAAAAAAAGTCTTACTTCCACTGATGATGTGGGTGTCATTGATGCGACCAATCACGGTATCTGCTGAGCCCGTTTTGGATTGTACCAGTCCTGCATTTGAGGGTGTGCTGGAATCAACTCGGCCACACACTACAAACTTGTACATGTAGGAATCTTCACCATTCTTAACGCTGACCTGGAAACTAGATGCAGCAAGTTACAATCTGTTAAGTAGTGCCAGTACTTCTGAGCATGCCACAAGCTGACATTTTAACAAACTTGGTCATATATTAAAGGATAAGTTTACCTTTATACAAAAATAAATAAAAATGCACATTTCTTTACAGGTAAAAAAAAAAATGCATTTATTATTTTTTTGCCTGCAGGAGCCTGTAAACCATTGTATCAGCAGATCGCTGGTGCCATGCAGGTCTCCTGAAGACCTGTCAGTATGTCCCCTTGCCCGTGCGGGATGGAAGGACAGGCAGATATACTGACAGAAAGAATCAATGAACTACCACAGCACTCCACAGCACCCTGGTAGTTCATTAAGCACTACAAGCTGACAGCCACTAAGGTTGTTTTGACTTGTAGTTTCTCATTCACAGATCACAGTGAATGAGTGATGTGGTTGGGCGGGTAGAGCACTGCACAACCACATTTTTTAAAAATCTGACAGCTAGTGAGAGGGGAGAAGATCCCCCGCTAGCTGTGAAAGTGGGGGAGTGGGAGCCGGTGCTTTCATAACAGGTTACATGTTACACCTTGAATATGGGAGTAACGTGTAACATGTTATGAAAGGTGAACGTACCCTTTAATGCTAATAAAAGCTTATACCAAACATAATGAGAACATATTCCATTCAATGTTCACTGAAATGCAATCATTCTTGTGGGTTGATATTAATGAAAGCTTTTCTCCCTTGCTTTAGGATTTATGAATGATCACTATAATCCCACCAGGCAGGCCACATCACAGCTCAGTCTATCTGGTTCTCATATTTAAAGTTCTCCAACATAGACTAAATACATAGGGGCCAATGCGACACAGATATGAATGAACTGCAGAACATCATAAGTAAGTTCAACTGTCAAGCAGCATTCCATGAATGTGTTGAACCAAGGTATCGCGCCAGCTTCTTGTCCCTGAGATGTAGTGCCAGGGGAAAAAGCTGACATGCAAAAAAAAAAAAAAAAAAAAAAAGCCAGCACAATGCTTCATATACTATATATATATATATATATATATATAAAAATATATAAAGTGTCCAAGGAAAGAATGTCCAATTTGTCTACAGTAACCAATTTACATTCTTCCAGTGCAGTATAGGAGAAATGACAGAACTCTTCACGTCAATAAAGAAGGTCTATTCTGTACTGCTTTAACTGTAGTGGGGGTCTTAAAAACAGCCTGTACCCTGGAGTATTTGTTTAATTTTATATGGTGTAAGTAAGTGGGGGCAGAATAAATGGAAAATTAAAGTATCTTTACAGCCATGTTGTCCAGTACAAGGCAAAAGAAATTCCTCTGGCACTAGCCCCCTCTCAAAGCACATGCTCCAGCCATCTGTCTGGTTGTAGAGGTTTCCATTTTGAAGTGAATAAAAGAGAATTGTGAGAGCACAGCAGACAGTACAGAGAGGAGCCTATGGCACATACAGTACATATGCAGATGAGCTAAAGAGAACGGATTTATGGTCATTGTAAAATACATTTCCAATGAGATTTCAGGAACTGCATGGTCTAGCTTATCTACTGAACCGGACCTAAACTTTGCAGCACATGCCAACTCTCAGGTAACTGCCTAATCCTAAGGCTGGGTACCCACAGGCTGAAGATTGGCCAAGAACCCCACATAAAACTACTGGCTACAACCCCCAACTCTTCTAGTATGTACTCACACACAGCTACACATGGAAACAGTAAGGCTTTGTTCACACAGGACATACTAAAGTGTATACTCATGGAGGGCCATGTTTACCTGCACATGTGTTCCATGCATCCGCATGCAGGCAATCTGTCAATTGGGACACAGCGAGTGCAGAGACACAGATGCTGCAGCCGCACCCACATGGATATCACAGTGGGAGCAGTGGCTGTGTCCATGCAGCTGCTGCATCCCAGTTGACATCAATAGTGCAAACTCTGAGTGTTGGCTCTGAGGAAGAGGCTGAGTCCTCGAAACGCAAGCCGTCATCCGGGGTTCCATTGATGTGGACTCAGATGTTATATGGATTGAACACCGCTGGTCATTGTGATGTGCTTGTGTTTTATATGTCTATTGTGAGTATGATACCTACTTTTAATTCTTTCATTAAATATTTTTTTTAAGATAATGCACTAGGCCGCTGCGCCCTCTTTTTGTTTTTCTTTCAACATCAATGAGACTGCCAGCATGGAGATGCACAGGACACCAGTGCATCTCTGTGTGTAAACACAGCCCTCCACGGAAGTACCCTTTAGTACACATGTGAACTAGGCTTTATAAAGTAGTACCTGAATATGAGAGATCTCACCATTTAACTCTTCCCTTACAATCTGAACCAGGAACCAGAAGTGGGCCAACTTGTTCCTAAATACAGCTGGCTATTTATTGCTGATATAGAGCTGGTCTATTCAGGTAACATTTATCTCAAAAGGAAATAGTGGCAGTAGGAGACAATAGTCATCTACGTATATCTGCCATGTAGTGCACCCGACAAGCCTGGACAGAGAAGCACAGGAAATGTGGCCTATAAATGCTCCTTCTCCCCCTTGGGCGGACAAGCTTGATAAAGGAGGTGGAACCTCAGAAACGCATCGCAGCCAACCCATCTGTCACTCATTGGTGCCTGTCATACTAGTGTCTGTTGGTGGTAGTAGAGGGGAGACACGTAGCTGGCATCCATCCACGAGCGAATCCCCGTCAGCTGATCAAAGTCCACACCAAGGAGCGGACCCCTGTCTCACAGTGGATGTCCATTCATCCTCATGGGAGAGAGCTGTATTTGCACACCATCTTGATCTATTGAGCTGTTCACAGGTTTTTCCGATGTAAGTGTGCTACATCAAAGTATTGTTGTGTTTATCGCACATTCATCTGGCGCCCTGCTCTTTTCTTTTGCACTTTACCAAGGATACCCAATCACAGCAAAGGAAAATAAACTATTTTTGCTTGCATACCATTAGATGAGGAAGTGAGCAGATCCTCACCTTATTCACGAAGCAAAGGCAAAATACCCTTATGAGATGAAAATTCCAAATCAAAGTAAAAGCCTAATTGCCTCTGTAAATCAACCTCCATAGGTAAAAGTCATTAGGACAATATACCACAGAGGAAAGAACAGACTGGTGTTGCACACAGAAACCTCATCCAACCAACACTCCCCAATGCAGGTGAAATTTACAGTTTGGTTAGTTCACAGACATTGCTTTTACATATTCAGGTAGATTCATCAAATAGTCCATATTTCTGCATGATTACCTCATATTCTTCAGAGGAGCCAGTCTTTGGTGGAGAGCTTGTTCTGCTGCCGACTTCTTGTCTCCACCGGTCAGGATACAGTCATTCACAAGCTGGTCATCAGCAAGGGCTGATACAACAACTATGCAGACACACCACAACTGTGCATACATCCTGGAAACAAACAAAAAAAAGAAGTTAATTGGGTGCTAGGCAAACAGAAAGTACATTAATTAGGAATAGCTAGTTACCTGTAAACTCCATGCTGGATCAGATGTTGGTGTGTGAATCACCAGCTACAGCAGTGGTTCTCAACCTTCCTAATGCGGTGACCCTTTAATACAGTTCCTCATGTTGTGGTGACCCCCCAACCATAAAATTATTTACCCAGTAATTATAATTCATGAGTGTCTTTTTACCTCCAATACTGCTGCTTTCAACACAGTAGCTGCTTTTAACAGAGTATCTGCTTTCAACACAGCAGCTGCTTTCTACACAGTAGCTGCTCTTTACACATGGAAATATGTGCTTTTTTCTGATGGTCTTAGGGGACCCCTGTGAAAGGGTCATTCGACCCCCAAAGGGGTCGCAACCCACAGGTTGAGAACCACTGAGCTACAGCATGTAATAAGCAGAATGTACAAGCCATATCGTATCATGTGTCACCAGCTCTCAGAATGCTGAATGTAAACGTAGAGATCCTACTACTGCTGTATACAAGAGATCTAGATTTTCTACACTGGATATCATCCTGAATACAGATGTGGCCCAAAGACACGTTTGAGTAAAAAGCTATTTTGCAGCGCCTGCAATGCTAAGATAGCAAAAATTCCACTCAATGGGGGCCATAACAGTAAATATTTCAGGGGTCCATTCACACCATATGCTTTGGGCTGCGCAGGGCAGTATCAGCCAAAGCATAGACAAGGCATTTTACCTTATGTCCTATTAATTCAGCTCACACTACAGTCCATCTCTGGACGTGGGGGAGAGCCGTTTTCTGGAGGAAATGTTTAGTATAGTGTTTCCTTGTGCCCCTGGACAAAACGAGCAGTTAACCCATGCAGTGCGGACACAGACCCACTGCATGGGACAATAAAAATTTTGTTCGGAGTTCTCCTTTAAAGTCAGCAGGAATCTGAATGAAAAAACTACAATTCCCACCTGCCACTGCGGCAGATGAATGAACTGTGGGTGCACTGATCAGCATGCTCATAGTTCTGCTTACAGCTCAGGGACTGCCTGCCCATACAGAGGTAGGGACAGAGAGCTTCAGGCAGTGTGCGCAGGAGCTTGACTTTGCAAACATGATCTGATGATCGTGGGTGCAACGCTCTGCAGGCTCTTAAGAAAAAAATAAAATGCACATTTTCCACCCATATTTGTACAGCGTAGCACTCACACTACAAATGAGTGAACAGACATAAAGCATGTTCTGAATGCAGTTTACACAAGCCGGACGCAGCAGGCAGCATGCCCTGGTATGAATAAGACTTCCGTTTCAGTTTACCATTTTTAGGTCACCTAGTATGTCAGCAGTATGGTTTGCTCAAGCTAGATTACAAACAGGCAAAGCAGGTATTGCTGGAACCCCTGAAGAGGTATGCTGGTAACAGTGCAAACAGACCCAACCGTGTAAACAGCCAGACACTTCCTGATTTCCAGCCAGGACTCAGACACATGTCAGGGAAGAGGAACTGACATTTATCAGAGAGCCGAGCTTTACCGACCTACATACACAGCACGAAAATCTTATTATTCAGAACTGGTGCTGTTAAGTAACCCCTGCTTCTAAAGGAACACTCCGTCAGTATGTAATTTTCATCTCAGGAGGCCTGTCATTAAAAGGCTTCACTCCTATTTACTATACACAGATGTCTATTTCTTATCTCTGAGACAAGTATGGAAAACACTGGGAGTCCGATTACAATATAACACCCGACTGCTGAGTGCAATGTACCCCGTGCTTTCACCGCACCAGCAGATGGATGTGCAAAAAACGGAGAACAGCTTTCCAGCAGATCCATGCTACAAGGCTGTTTACATAAATAACAAACTGTCATGTCAATTCATAAGCTTCGCCTATACCTCCGGGGCCCAACACATGGGCAGCCTGCCGTTTTCTGGGATGGCACCTGTCCAGCACCCAATGAGCTAAAAGACTGTACTGTCAGGTGAAGTGATCACAGCCTGACAGTACAAGTATAGTCCTGGCCCTGTTGGGGGAAGTGAGAGCGGTGTGGGAGCATGTAATCACGTAATTACCACTGACAACCAATGCTGCTGGGTAGATTTCAATACCCCTGAATTGCTAATGTGTGTCTGTGGGGAGGGGGTTAATAGTATTACCACACCAATGCTGGGAGTTAGGATCGCATCGAAAACACAGCAAACTCTGTACTCCTGCACATAGGGATGGACTCGGCTAGGGTTATAGTAACATCTCAGATGTCCTAGAAAATGCACTCCTTGCTGTCCTCAACAGACCAGAGTAGTCCAATGTCACTGGATACAAAGAAACACAAACAGAGGGTGCACCAGCCAAGTGTATTATTGGAAAAAATATTTATTGGAAGGATAAGAAGTATCATACTCACAAGTGACATACAGGTCAAAGGCACATCACACTAATCAGCGGTGTCCAATCCACGCTTCATACAAGTCCATAAATGGTACTTCCAACAGGCTAACGCGTTTCGAGGACTTCCTCAGAGCCAACAGAGTCTGTACCTCTCTTGAAGAAAAGGTACAGACTCTCAGTTTGTTGGCTCTGAGGAAGAGGACTTGTATGCAGCGTGGATTGGACACCGCTGTTAGTGTGATGTGCCTTTGACCTGTATGTCGCTTGTGAGTACGATACTTACTTCTTATCCTTCCAATACATTTTTCTGATAATGCACTAGGCTGGTGTGCCCTCTGTTTGTGTTTCTTTGTATCCAGTTAGAATTGCATCCACTGGCACCAATGATCAGGCTGTTTAACTTCTATTTTCTCTCCAGTGTGCAGTGCAGTATACTGCAAGAAATGCTGTAGGCCTGAAATTTTCAGATGCTGGGGTACATTACAGCCCATTTATTTGTAAGGGGCTGCCTAACTTAGAGCCATGCACCTCAACGCACAAAAAAACCCATTGCTATCATACAGTCCTTTCAAAAGTGTTCGGGGGGGGGGGGGGGGGGGGGGGGAATCAGCACACGACGCTCTCTATAATTTGCAAAATAGGTTGGTGGAGACTGGGAAGAAACTACCTCCACGGCACCACTTCCCGATTACAATAACAAAACAGGAGCCAACGAGGCTTTTAGGGTGAACAGTGAATACAGATTAGATTCAAAAAACAATCTACAATTGGCAATTTTACCAGCAGTCTCCGGCCATCACACTGCTGCACCACACTGGTGGTCTACACACCCCAGCTTAAAGCTGAAAACCAGACAGACAAACCCAGTGTTATGTGCTTCAACGAGCATCAGCTGAGAGCATTCTGAATTCATGGCAGGTCCAGCTGACCAGCTTTTGCAATCCCATAGACTTGTATAGGGAGAGAAGCAGTTTCAAAGCAAAAGCCAATCAACATTGGCCCTAATGCAGTCACCTATAAAATTACAAAAATCATTAACTCTGTATATATTTACAAATGAAACTAGAGCAAGTACATACATTGGTATTAGCCTCTTGTAATCTGCCATACAGCAGAACTCTGACTGGGAGAGGGAGGGGAAGCACAGTGGTCTACTTGGGTGTACTGCACAGATGTGCTCACAACGCACATGCTGACAGGAGTATGCAGAGTGATGAGCTTGTCAGTCTGCTACTGCTCCTTTACTGTCCAATCAGCAGGCTGGTGACCAAGCTGTACTGCTCTAACTGCAGTAGAAAAAAAAAAAAAAGCCAGGTCACCAAGCTGGATATGTATATCTCAGGACTGGATGGGCAGGTATAGCAGCTGCCATAGGCCCCATGCACACTGGGTATTTAGCCTCAGTGGATGAGATCCTGGCGTTTTGGTGTGAGTGGAAGACACAGATGCACCGTCCAGACCCAGTGCCAGCAGCCTGGAAAGCTCTACGAGGGGCTGACAGCTGCTGTGGCTGGATGATGCACCAAGAGGTAGGGCAGCCAGAGACAAATGCCCGGACCACAAGCAGCAGAGGTGGCCTTGTTGGCATCATTGTGCCCAAAATTATTTGATTAAAAAACTGCTACTGTGTACTGCCGTTATGCTTCAATAAAGCACCTGTTTTGTAAAAAGAATTGAAAGCATTAAGCAGAAAACTGTCAGATTCAGTCACTGTTCAAGTATTCAAACGCTGCAGCCGGGGATTGGTTCATCTGTGCTGTTTAGAGTGGATGGAGAAATCTGTTAGATTCCTTTTGTTGAACAAAAGGGATCTAAGGGGGGTATGGCCAGCTTTAACTTATAACATATGGGTGCAGCACAGGCCATCAGAAGCCAGAGCCCCCCCAAGATGGAATTCTCTGTTGGTTTCTTACATCTTTTGGGAATGCCAGTGGTGACCTATCCCTGTCAGAATACAAGCTACAGACAACCACCATGAACATTTAAATGATAAAAATAGTCATGTTTTACATCACATGAACACTTCATAAACCTACTTCCCTAAACCGGAATCAGACACATGACATGGAAATGTGCTCACATAAAATGCAAAGCGGAAGTACGCCTCTGACGGCCAGATTGTGAATATTCACGACAGAGGGAACAGAGCAAGAAACATCAAGATCACTGAAGAACCGTGCACAGAACAATCAAGGGGGCAGTGCAATGACTGGCGGGTTTATTTCAAGGGGATCACCACTTTCTACAAGACAGAATGAACCCTGTGTTGGTCCTCTCACAGTCTGCCTGCTGATCACCAGCTATCCATGTATTCTCACCCAGACGGGAGGTAAATAGCAGCAGCAGGATGCTGGCCATAAAGTGAACCTAAAACCTTGGCATGAATGTATAAAATCCAGGCTCACTGCAATTCAGACAGCCAGGGAGCCTATGTTCTAATACATACCTACCCAGCAGGCCTGAGACATCACTTCACTGACCAACCTGCATGGACATATAGGCTACCACTGTTTGGTGGGTCATATAGTCCGGTGAACACCAAGGTGGGGTGTGAATTTCTGCCATTCCATAATGCAAGCATCACAGCTGTAG